TGCTAATTAGACTAAGTAGGTAATGCCCGTTTTCACCATTAATCCCTAATTTTTAAGTGAGGGTATGGTAACACATAATAGGAATTTTGTTTTCATAGGGGTCACATAAAAATTAGGGATTGATGGTGAAAACGGGCATAAGGCTAAGTAAATACTTAGTTACAAAAAACGCCTAAGGATAAAATCGATATTTAACTTCGAATTCCTTTCGAAGTCTTCTGATTAATCATTGCGGCTCCAATGACAGTTTAAGTAACTTTCCTCCGGTAAAAACTTGACTATCATTGATTGGCTTTTAGTAGGCGGTTAAGCTGTAGATCCTGGCAACACAGGAGTTACAGCGGTTGAAACTAGAGGCGGAAATAGTCCCAGTTTCGCGAAATAGAATATAAATTTATGCCACAGTATTAATTTAAAATAGCTCCTAACACACCCACATAAACCACACATAGACTTGTTGTGTCACTGCCTGTATTTCCATTATTTTGAAGAAATCTCTCCGCAGTGTCGCGTGCGGTGACAATCAAGATGGTATCTGGGGCGTGCATCGGAGGTTTCACACTCACGATCACTCACCTGCAAGCTGCGCTGTGATGATGATCTTGACAGACGTACGATATGAATACTCGTACTATGAGGACGATGGCCCAGGCTTTGAAAGTTTTATGTAGATAGGAGGGCGCTACTATCAATACTGTACCTACCTCTAGCATGAACAACTCTCGTCTTCGAATCGTTTGCGTATTCGATAAAATTCGATACTCAATTTTCAAATTAAACGATAACGTGACATTTTGATTCTCAAAATAAGTTTCGTGCAACCACATCTCATACTAAGTTCCCTTTACGACACGTTCACAAGGGCGCTGTTGTAGTTTTCTTACTAAATCTTTTCATGGCGATTCGAGTACGCAAACGATTTGAACTCGAAAGTTTTTCGTGCTAGTCGTACTGGTTAAAGTTCAGATTTTTGAGACGTTGGACAACACTTTATAGGTCCCGTAAAATTATGACATAGTAGAGCTTTACAATCAGAGCCGGGTTCCGATTTTTCTCTCTTTACGTTTCAAAATCGTTTGACTGTAGATTTGGTTTCACACGCATGATGACATGACCAGCGCTATGATGATGATCTTGGAGAAGTACGATAAAAATTCGTCAGGACGACGGCCTGACTGTAATGCTTTGAAAGCCTGTATGCACTATTTAATAGTCCATTCGAATAAAGAATCTTTGACTTTTGAGTTTTAAATAGGTACCTAATAGTGTTCCGCAAATGGTGTACCGCGACTCACTGGTGTACCGTGGTCATTAGATGGTGTGACTGAGAAAAATAAGATTATAAACTTACTAGCGGCCGCCCGCGACTTCGTACGCGTGGATCCTGTTTTACCCCCTTTTCCCGAATTTTCTTTGCTATAAACCTCAAAACCGTGGAAATCGGTTCGTGCGTTCTGGAGTTATAGCGTCAGAGAGGAAAACCCGACTTATTTTTATATAGTAGATTTTTAGTAAGTAAGTAATGGTAATGGTGCGTCCACACTGGGCGAACGGGCTCGCGCGGCAAACTCGACATCCTGCTCACACTGCTCTTGAGTGAGCAGGATGTCGAGTTTGCCGCGCGAGCCCGTTCGCCCAGTATGGACGCATCATTGGGCTAATAAAGGTAATGACTTAAAAAAATATATGTATATTTTATGTGTGGTGCACCTCCAAAAAAGGTGACATAGAGTCAGTCAGTAGTCAGAAGCTTAAATGCCACACGATACGTCGAAACCCTACAAAACATGCATAATAACGGCAGTAATTCGTTCCTGAAAAAGTTATACCTAATACCATGTAGAGTCCCTCTTACATAATTATAGAAGTTAGAGCTCTTTCACATTAGACGTATTGTATGACAACGGCGTCGGAATAAAATTGACAATTACCAATAAGTTAGTGTGCGGTCTTGCAAACATACGACAGACGTCCTGCTGAATATGTCTAATTTGAAAGACTGATGAGAAAAGATGCTAGTTTAAGTGAAGTGTTCATGTGTCACCCTGTGCGTCCACGCGCACTGTGATACCTCATAATAATGTTTGTGGATGTGGGCGTTAGTGTTAAAAGGAAACTAGATATTATAGGGCAGGGGTGGCCAACTTGATTAGACACCTAAGATCTACTGTTTACTAACGAAACCCTGGGTGATCTATCACTTACATACTTCTTGAAATCTTAAATGAAACAGCATAGTTTAGTACACAATCATGTAGTATTTTTTGTCTTGCCACGATCGACTGGACTAATATTCGCGATCGACCGGTTGACCACCCCTGGTATAGTGTGTCTGTCCACGTATAAACGTAAGTTAAGTAAGTTAACATTTGTCATCGATCCCCGCCTATACAGCCTACCTTGAAATAAATGTTATACTTATACCCAACAGAAGTGATTCAGTTAATACAAACAATTAAAGGCCGGCGCTGCAGTGACGCGCCGCAATGACTGTCCTGACCACAAGTTCTAGATTGAATTAAACACTGTCTGAAAATGTTTTGACTATCTCTGTGCTTTTAAAAAACTGTGGCATCAGAATCAAAGTACACAATAGTATACTCGTAGTTGTTACAATTCACGAAGGCGAGTGAGCTTTACATGTGTGGTGGCTCGCTACTGTTCGTTTTTCAAAAGTTTTGATAGACAATACACTATCGTTTTGTGCGTAAAGTTCACTCGCCTTCGTGAGTAGCAAGAACTATACCTATTTAGTATGTTAAATTCACGGTATGCTAAGTATTTACATAATTATCTGCAGCAAATTATACATTACTGACCAAGAAATATTTTAAGAAATAAAATATCGCTAGTCATTTTTTGGCGAATAATTTATTTTTACAATTATTGTAGTATTTTTTTGATCAAAAAGATAAAAGATCAAAAGATAAAAGAGTGTGTTATAATTACGGTTATAAGCTTATCTTACATAGGATAAAAAAAAATCAAGGATAAAAAAATGTTAAATTAAAAACACTACTTAAAATACATACTTATTTCAATAATGATCTGTAATACTATTGATATGAATTATTTTCTCTATTTCCCATAATGTAGAGACTGTTTGACCGTAACTTTAACGATAACCTGTGTTTTTGTATGGAGTTTGACAGATTTTTGACGTTTGTCAAAGTTAAAGTAAGATGGTGCAACCCAGCCTTAAACTTTATAGTATGTAGAGCTTTTTAAGCTTTCTTCTCGTGCACATGACTGCGAATTTTTTATAATATTATTTTTACGGTTGCATTTCATCTCTATTACTTACATATTTTATAATAATTTCCTTACTGATTATTACCTCTTTAGGAATAAATTGAGTAGAAACAGATTTTGATATCAAAGTAATTAGACAAGCTGAGTTGATACGCTACGGTATATTGATTAAACCAATTATTTTGCTGCGTAATTTAGTAATGTAATAAAATTGTGTATTATCAAAATGAAGGCTTAATATGTTGGTATAATATAAGTTAAGTTACTCGTGTTTAATGGAAATTTTACGATTTATTTTGGTCTTACTGTAAAATGTAGAGTCAATTTTTATGGTGAAATTTCATTGTATTTAATATATTTTTTATTTTCAAGATATTTCACATTATCCGTATTATGTAATGTGTTAATAATTAGTAATTATAAATAACGTGCAAATTATAAATTACTAATGATAGATGTTTATTCAGCTATAAAAACCAAGTCGATTTAACCACGAGCTAAACACTAATTAACGTGAATTCTAATTGAATACATCGCTTAATAAACCTAGATAAGCAATAAAAACTGTAACTGGACGTTTATTAGCGTCGGACGCTCATCTTCTCAATAAATAACATAAAAAACAGACGCTATGTACAGTCTGACAATTTACTCCTACCTACCTACGAAAAATTACCGAACGGCATCTGGGAAGAACCCAATATAGCCACGTCTCCGTGGTCCAGAACAGATGTAAACATCGTGTCGTCACGCTCTAACACTTGTCCCGGCATACCGTTGGAGCGAGACGAAGCGACAAGATGCAGTCTCGTAGCTAATGAAACGTGTCGTCCACTGTCCGACGTGCGCCTACGCATCTTGTGCCAAAATTGTCTTTGAAGCACCAAATTTTATTATTTTCCAAACCAATTACATTAAAAATTAATTAATTTCATGTTTATTTATTTAACTTAGATGCAACGGTTGTAAATGATAGATGATATTAACATATTTTTCAGTTATCTCTTACATTGAAACTGTAAAAACGGAGATAAATTCAACGCAAAATACAACTTCGTCCCTTGATATTAAGCTTAAAGTTCATTTGCTCCCATCCATTGTGCTTACAGCGTTTTGGGACTAGAATAGCTTACCAAGGTCCATGTTAAATCACCTGTAACCTTATAGCCGTCTCGCTCTGCCAGCATCGGAAGCTTTCTTAGTGGGAACGAGATGGCTACACTTTTCTAAGCACCCTTGGAGACTATTGGTGCGTACATTGGCAAACTGAACAGGTTATGTCAGAAATGAGAAACATTTTATTTTAATGTTACTTGCACTGCCAAGTACGTAAAGTCTTGATTTAATATTTAATTACACTAACACGAATAAAAGTATTTTTAAATATTGGCAATAAAATATCAAATAGTTTTCGAAATTTTAGAAATTCGTAAACTTTTCTTGTAAATATCATAAGCATACATTTTTGATACATTTTAAAAAGCTTGTAGAGGCTACTCGTCACCTACTAAATTAAAGATATAGTATGCAATATCATACATTTTCTCGGTGAAACAAGCATTAGCATTATTAATAATTATTTTAAAAAACCTTTTCTGTGTAAATTGTTGTAAATTGCTCAATAAAATCCACATTTACGCAATATCAAAGCTAGCAGCCTACTCTTTGTCCCAACAAAATGTTGGCGTCGCCTGCACCGAGCGCGGAGTCGCGGATAGCTGCGCGGGAGTCGTCAGTCGATCGTGATCTCTCGCCGGCGCGTAGTCCGCGCGCCAACCAAATTCAAATTCAAATATCGAACTCTATCGAACGTCAAAACTTCAAAACCGTGACTTTTTTGCTTTTAAAAACTTTAATGACCTCTGTGCTGTGTTGTGTATTTACTTTCGAGCGTGCTATCGATATTTTTTTACCGGATAGTGTGGAGCAAAGTTTATGTGACAAGTTGAGGTTTAAAGTTCAAACGCAGAACCGTGGATGTACTGGATTTTATATATTTTCTTAGTGTTAACCCTTTTAGTGTGTGTGCTAGACGATCATTAAACTCCAGTCGCAATCGGCTAAAGGCTTAAGGTGCGTATTTATTTAAATCATCGATAGTAGAGATAATGCAGTAGATTGCACCAAAGAAGTATTTATATTTGTATTGTAGTGCACAGTTGTCTATTATCTACTGCAGCAACGTGTATTTACATACAGTGTGTATTCTATGTAATATTTGATTTCAGAGATATTTGTAAGTATCTATAAATCTTTAGTTTGAAAAAACTTTTCTTACAACCATTTTTAGACAAAGAAACCATCATTTACTAATTATTTATATATATTTATAGCACATAATCATGTAAATTATGTATAATAATACTTGTTACTAAGTATTGAAAAACTATAGTTAATGTAGAGTCACATTGAGACAAAAAAGTCTTCAGTTTTACCGCAAAAAGTGTGATTGAATATTAAATATTTTAAGTTGTAGATAAATTATTATGAATATTTTAGAACCCTACAATTTATTTCCAATAATGTAAATTATCATTAAGGTGGAAAAATACAAAATTGTTTAAAAGATGTCAAACGTCAATTTTTGCTTCGCCTTTGCCTAAAATTGTGTTTTTAATATTTAAAACAAAAAAATGTTCTATTAGCACTATACAAATAATACTCGTAATCGTATAGCAATCGTATGCCAAGGGAACTTAATTGATGGAATCTGAACTCTACCCTCGATTTGAATATGCGTCGGTCGGCTTGGTTGAATAAACTCTAGGGGACGTATTTTTGAAGCATTCGAATTAAAATTCGTATACGAATCATTAACTATCGCATACGAATCTTTAACGATCGTATACAAATCTGGAAATTACGATGTGTATCGTATACGAATTGGAATGCGCTCGATGCAAAAATAAGTCACTTGAAACTGAACAAATAACATTTGATGTCTTTAAATAAAATATGTTATAATTTAAATATTTAATTCGCCACGATATCAAAACAGACTGTCAAAAACAATTTGTTATTTACACATTAAATTACTTTTATTTAAGCTCTCGCGCGCCGCAGCTTTCATAAAAATTATCAGTACTTTTAACATTAAAAGTTCCATTATGCGTCGATAATTTATATCTGAAATCTTTGAATGCAGTTCTATTTCTTTTCAAAAATAAAGGAATGTTTTCTTTGAGTAAAATTTCTACTAAAAGTCTACAGTATCAAGAGTACTTTCCCTCCAGGTGGCATTACACAATTCCACCCTGTATAGTAAGATCAGGCAACACAGTCTTCGTTGCGAAATATACTACAACTATTCAGGAATACAACAGTTTTTAGCTTTGTATTGTTTTACTGTGGTCTTTACCTAGTTGTTTGTATATTAGTCTTTAAATAAAAATCTTTAGTTATTCAATTATTGCAACCATTGTTCTGGAATTGACCCAACTGAGGGATCAACTAGGGATTATTTGCACTCTACGCGATTCTAAGCGCCACTATGCTATAGATAGAGATATATAGAGTCTTAAAGTAACTACATAATTCGGCAAATTTCGTACCGCCTATGTTCATCAGAAATAGTGTATGGTTCTAAGGTTCTAATGACGAAAACATTTTTTCAAATCGGTCCAGTAGTTTTGAGCGTATTCACAAACTAACAATCAAATCTTTGTACATTAGTGTACAGATTGAAAATGAAAATGAAAATATTTATTGCCAGAATCAAACAATACAATAACTAAAAGACAGACCTCCACACTAGGCATTAATTTAATTTATTTTTATATTTGTACTAGCGGCCCGTCCGACTTCGCACGGTTGCAATGGAATTTTCTTGCTTTTCTCTTCTATAATAAGCATGTTTTATACATACAAACTTTCCTGTTGAAACACTCTATCTATTTAAAAAAAACCGCATCAAAATCGGTTGCGCACTTTTAAAGATCTAAACAGACAGAGAGGAAAGCGACTTTGTTTTATAATAAACTAGCTGACCCGGCGAACTTTGTTCCGCCTTAATGGCAATAAATAACGGGATAAAAAGTATCCTATGTCCTTCTCCTGGCTCTAAACTACCTCCCTGACAATTTTCAGCTAAATCGGTTCAGCCGTTCTTGAGTTATAAGCGAAGTAACTAACACGACTTTCTTTTATATATATAGATAGTGATAGTGATATTGAAAACTATTTACCTACTGCAAGTATAGAATTTATAAGACGTACCAAAATGGACACAGGCGAAGCCATGTGCTAGTAAGAACAACACTTAAAAATAAACTTCAAAACTTCATCCATTTGAAATAAAATATTATGTAAAAATGACAAGCAACAGCTGTACCAATTACCATACAAATCAAAGATGGCTGAAGCAAACGAAGGTTAACTAAATTAAAACTAAAAATATTAACTTTGTTTTTTTACAAGTTAAGACATCATCCAACTGAAATATTGAACGTTTTTCTGAAGTCGCTTTGGATAATAATAAATTTAATTAAAATAAGTAGGTACCTACTTCTGTAACAAATAACAATATTATTTCTAAGCCAAAATTTTTATAGAAATATTAATATTTCTTTAAAATTTACATATATTTAGGTATTTGGAATTTAATGAAAATCTAAAAAGAGTTAACAAACTTTAACAAATAAATTAAATATTAACTCTTATTAATGTCTTTCTATACAAAATTGAACAATTTTATAAAAGTGAAACCAACTTTGAGTAATTGATTTTCATCTGGAATTATATTATACACAATTTATTAGTTACATGAAAAGTCAACCTTAATACTCAATACTCAATTCTATAATGCATCCATAATGTTACAGAGGTGGTACCTTAGATGGGACTTGAAATCTTTTGCTTTGTCCGTCGTGCTACGAAGACATTGGTCCATTGTGGAAAATTTTCATTCATGTTAATTATTACATCATGAACTAGTGTTGTTTCCTTAATGGGCAATATTTACCCTTAAAATTATAATACGAACCTAAATTGTAGCCTTCTTTGATCATTAGTTAAATTATATTTAAACAAACACAATGTTACTACAACGTCTTAAAAATACAATAACTAGTTAGATACGAACATCTTATTAGTATTACAGCATGCATTAATAAATTATATGCAGCATAAATTAATTTTCATGAAAGAATGAAAATTAACTTTATTCGTCATTATCATAGGTACAAAGTTGTGAGATTATGAATTTTTAAAAGTTATAATATACGGATATTTCATTTTTGTACTAAATATGCAACTGGTTCGGAATAAATATGTAGTTACTATTGTATTTCTTCTAGCAAACTGGAAACAATTAAATACTCCATTGTTATGAAATTTATTGTACTAGGTACCTACTATTGAGAATTTTTATCTTTCTATCTTTAAGGCTTTTTTTCAATAAAAATGTATTTATAACCCTTTAAGTCTAAATCTTAAACCCGCCTGCCAAGGGTGGGGATTATGGTAAAACCTCAGATCATAGAAGCAAAACCCTCCACTATAGTGGAGGAGGCTTATAGTCCAGCAGTGGACTGTAAAGGGCTGATGATGATGAAGTCTAAATCTTTAGTTCGTTCGTTCGTTCGTTCGTTTGAGCCGAAAGACGTAAAAACTCTTTAGTAATTAGTTTTTTTATATAAATAAAACATGTAGTCAAAGTGAATCTTGCTGCCCCATCAGCCGTCAGTTCTGCGTACTATGTGCCCTGCCCATTGCCACTTCAGCTTGCTAATCCATCTTGCTTTAACTTTAACCAACGTCAAAAATCTGTCAAATTCCGTACAAAAAACACCGGTTATCGTTATAGTCATGGTCAAATTGGATGGTGCAACTCATCCTAAGTATTTTACTGTCTAAGAATTTAGTTAAGGTCCCCAGTTTTTTTGCAACATTTAACTTTAGGCCTTTAGCTACCTAACTACATCTCACAAAAGTGGTGTACCTAACTGTCCTTAAGAGTTGACATTACGGCCTCGGCTAACTAAAACAAGCTGTGTTTTGGTTAACTACCGCCAGAACAAATAACATCCGCTCCGTGGGAGAGGCTCTGTTATGATATCAACTTATAACTCATTCATTAAGGTTTTCCTGTTCATATTGAGTTTTCTTCTTTTTACCCGACGAACCAAAAGGAGGTTATGATTTTAACAGGCTTTGTGTTTGTAGTTACGTGTTCCTCTGTAGAGTCTACACTAATATTCTTCCAATATTGATGAAGGTAGGTATATTAGGATACTTGGGCTGAGTTGCATCACCTTAACTTTAACCGTAACTATAACTTTAACCGATGTTTTTGTCAGACTTAATTTTAATGTTTGCTAGAGTTAAAGTAAGATGATGACCCAGGCGTTTGATATACCAACGATTGTGCACAACTCTAAACGCCTCTGTGTTCTAATGGTAAGACTACAAGATGACCTGGGTTTGATTCCTAGTGAAAAATGTTCTGTTCATTTTGGTTCATGTTAGGACTAGTTCCAAGTTCCTAGCTATTTTCTTACCTTATGTCTTTCACTATAACATCAATGATAACAGTATTTGGTCTCATAAAGTTTGAAACTTTTACTATAACCCATAGAGCCCATATCAAACTATGTGCTGTGAAGATACGATTGAAAACCAATGTCTTTTTAGCCTGGTTAAGGGTTACCTACAATGGGAAAGCTCTTGGTCTGTATCTCACCTGTGATCAGTGATCGTGATAATCAGGCCGAAGGTGGAAACGAGCTTCACTCGGAATCCTCAACCACAGAGGAACTGGCATATGAACCAGTGCTGGGAAAAACAGTGCAAGAAATCTGTCACTTTTTTCAGCTTATTTTTCAAGGATAATATTGAAAATTAACTTATCAAAAAGATCTTATGAAAACTCCTTGCAGGTGATAAATACTGAATATCTTAATAATATTAAGCACACTCTCCTTATAATAAATATCCCTTAAAATATATTTAAAAAATAATATCCTAATTGGAATTCCACGCCCAGTGGTGTGCCCGTCTAGATACTATCGCGACTAGTGCTGTCAGCGCAGATTGTCGATAGCCGCCGATCTTATCGACGTAGAGGCGACGAAACTCGAAAGTTGTCGACGTGCTGTGTCATAACAGAACCGAATTGGTAAGGCGACATTCGATATAATTGAAAATTATTTGGTCCTTTGATTGGGAAATTGGGGTTAAGGTGTTTTGAAATAAGTCTGAAATTACATGGAATCAAAGTTTTATTTCGTCAAACATCCTTTTTACCATTTTTGTTGTTAAATAAGTAGCACAATATTTCAACTACATGAGATATAACATGATGGTTTCTTTGATGTGCCTATTCTATGTTTTAAATAAATTGATAAATAGGTACTCATTCTTATGAAGTATTTATATCTCTTTAACCCATGGGTAGAGGTCTAACAGTAAGGCTGAGTTGTACCACCTTATCTTTAACGGTAACTATAACTATAACCGGTGTATTTGTATGGAGTTTGACAAGCTTTTGACGTTTTTAAAGTTAAAGTAAGATGGTGCAACCCAGCCAAAGTATTTGGGTACAGTACACTACTAAAACATGTAGGTACTTCACAGTGTATAATATTTAAACTGCTCTTATAATGCAAAAATCTAATATTTTTTGTTGTTTAAAAAAACTGCCTCAATATGAATTACGAAGCTACAAACTGCGGAATAAGCAATATATGGATTTATTTTTCCACTTTACATAAATAAGGCAAAAACTATACGAACTAAATGACCTTTATAATAATCAAAATAGATACACCAATACAAAAGCTGAGTTGCACCACGTTATTTTAACCATGACTATAACCATAACCGGTGATTTTTGTATGCAGTTTGACAGACTTTTGACGTTTGTTAATGTTAAAGTAAGATGGTGTAACTCGGCCTTATTATCTTAACTAAGTAGCGTAACTTTTATTTGCAATAATATTTATGTGTAATGTCAAGTACGTGTGACGCTATTTTGGTCATAAAATATGATTTGTGTCGTACGCAAGTACAAGATTTGATTGGTTTTCCTTAAGATTTAAGATGGGTCGTAGTTATCTAGCGGTTTGAAGTAGTACTTATTGCATTTACGTTATTACTACGTAACGAACTTGCGTAATAAATAATAAATAAGTCCTTGGATTCCTTGGACATTTTACACTGCGTCCTAATCCCAAACTAAGCAAAGCTTGTACTATGGGTACCAAGCAAGGGATATGAACATACTAAAAAACGTTTTTTTTTTGTAACTGCACACAAATATTTGTTCTGTGCGGGAAGCGACGTCGTCATTTCAGCTTTAAAGTTATGACGTCCACTGCTGAACCTTCAAAGACTCCAATGACTTCCAGATTGACTGGTTGGAGCAACAAGCAGCCTTGTAAAATCTCTACACAATTTTAATTTTTGAAATAAGAACAAAAACGTTTTTCAGCTTTATATAAAACTCGTCTATGTTAACTTCCAATGTTATAACTCAATTAGCCTAAAATATTAACTAAGTATGTTTCATATGAGACATTCTTATTTAGGTAGAGAAAATGTAACAGAAATGTTTATACATAATATAAGTAGGTAATATATTATTATTTGCGATTAGCTGTAAACTACAGTAGCTTTTCCTATTTATGTTTGGTTGGGTTTTCCCCCAACAGTTCATGTTATTATCGCAAACTAGGTATTTTGTCGATAAAAAAGTAGAAGCATTACAAAAAGGTCGACCTAGACGAAAAGGAACCGAATAAAAAAACAAAATGTTTTTAAAAATGGAATTAGTGGTGCGCCGTGTACCGTGGCACAGGCGCGGCAACGCGTCGCAGTGCCGCCAACATTGACAGCTGTCAATCACCCGCAATATGGCCGCCGAGCCGGTTCGGCCGAACAAACATGCTTCACTATCTCGTCAAATCTGATGCGGAGTTCAGTACCCGTGTTAGATTATTGCCGAGATATTTTCCGCATCAATATTGTGACTTGTGTGAACCGATTACGCTTTTTGTAAAACAAGTTTAATAAATTCGGATCTTATCTGAAAAAAGTTGAGGCAAAGGAAATTCCCCGATGAAGCCTATCTCAGAAAGAAACTTTGAAACGAGATACGAATGAAAACTTTTTTTTACTGTAATGTATTAGTTTTATTTCTAACCAGCAACGTGGCTTTTCTGCCCGACAAAGAATATTATGTGTTCTTATAGTTTCCCATTTGTTTACTTATTGACATAAACTTTAGGATGCGCCGTAAAAGGAATAATAGGGTCCTCTTAACATGACTTGTATTGGCATCGCAGCCAGAATAACATAAAGGTTTAGCCAACCTAATTCATGTCACAAAATAAACAATGAAATGAAACGTTGTAGGAAAACTACGGACTCCCTAGGTCACCTGGGTAATATATTCATTTCCTGAAATAAAATGAGCGAGTCAGAATTGCTGTCGTATAAATAATGCCATCTAGTACTTAGATAGTATTTTTTTAATTGTAAATCACAAATAAACTTTTTTTTTCATTAACATTGTTTTGAGGCTGTGTTTTAGTTAACTTACTCATTTTGTTTAAACTGAAATTTTCAACATATTTGTGGGGTATCAGTTCTAAATTTAAATAAGTATTTTTTTCTTTTTGTTTTCAGATATGACTCGACTAGTGACATGACGTGCGATGCGGACCGGCTCAGTGACGAAATGTCAACGGATTTTGGCCAACTAGTGTTGTGCGCGTGACCACGTCGAACATATCGATACTCGCTTCTGTTGGCACAACAACACGAATGAACACCCTCATGCTGACGACTAGTGGGGCTGTGGATGATCCAACTTGTGTCGATAGCAACATGTCTTTTTCATCGTATAAGTGAGTAACATCCATTTTTATTTACTTTATAAGTAGTGATAATTACTAATAAAACTAATTATTACTAACTGCTCCTATAAAGTATGCATCTAGCTAATCCAGCCATCCATGCCATCTTATTCAGTAATAGGTGCTATTTTCTAATAAAAAACTGAACAGTCATCAACAGTCTTAAGTAGATTCTGTATAGAGATTTACAGGTTCCTTATTATTTATTCAATTCATCATCATCATCAACAGCCCTTTACAGTCCACTGCTGGACTATGAGCCTCCTCCACTATAGTGGAGGGTTTTGCCATAATCTCCACGCTTGGCAGGCTGGTTGGAGATCGCAGTTTAAAAGATTGATGTTTTTCAGAGAGCGCTGCTGCCCATTCTCTGTTTGATGTGTAGTACCTAAGTCGCCTCTTACGACACCCGCGGGAAGAGTAGGGGTTGGTGACAAATGTATTCTACTCTGCCGTCACCACACGGCTTATTCAATTCATTTTCAAAAATTTAAAAATGGCAACAAAACAATACCACGCAAAGACAAAAACTCATCATTCAGATTTTATTTTCATGATACAGTCAATAGCATATCAAACTTTACATTTTTGTTGTAAAATAGCTCTTATTGAAACGAAATAGGATGCCACAGTTTTTATTCATTACCAATGAAAAGGGATAAGCGTATGTAAAGATATGTCTGATTGTGACGTAAATTGAAACATTTGTTTTTTGAATGAAATTATAACAGAGGTCAAGTTCTAACACGCGGGCAGTGCGTGTGTAAACAATAATGCAATATTTCCACCCGAACCCGCCAGAAAATGTCAGCACAACCCGGCATCTTAAGTGGGTTAACATAAGTGCGATTTTGCAACAAAAATAGTTATTGCCGAACAAATTGATGTACATCAGATGATCAGACTATTCAGATTATCAGAGGGCTTAGTGTGAATTTACATCAAACGTGGTCACTAGCGAGCGCGTTAAAAAATATATGTAAATTTTAGTTCTTAAAAGTTTCCGCTAGGGGCGCTGTACAATCCGTCATACATTTAATGACAATTTTTATGCAGTCGACATCGAATGCGTTTGACGTAAACTCCCACTCTATTAGTCTGATCATCTGATGTACAATCAAAACACTACACCTAAGCCTAATTTGCAACTTCGTATGGTGCATTGTTTAGATTCATTTGCTTTAGTTGGAAAAAGTGATGGATACGCGATACGATATACATACATAAAGTTTGAAACAATGTATTTAATTTTCGGCGATATCAGCCGATTCTGATATGATTAATTTTACTATTAAATAACAATAACTGGCCGGACGTGGGAGATGTGGTTGCTTACTATGGGCCTCATAAGAAGGCTCAAAGTCACCGAAATGCGGTCGGTCCTATAAATGCGGGCAGGCCCGGTCGTTATGAAAATCCAACGGGGAGGTCTTTGACAAGCAGTGGACGTCATTTGGCTGAAACGACCGAACTCTTTTGATCAAGAGACAGATGACTTTTTGACTTAAAATCCGTTATCGATATGACAATGACCTTTGAATGTTCCATCACTAGCCAGTGATATCGTAATAAACTATTACGAGTGACCAAACTATCACTGTGTAAGTGTGTAAAGCACATCAGGCTGTATATTATTGTTTCATAATAGCATCTATTACAATCACATAAGATGTTCAAGTGTATAATGTCAAATTGTGTTTTAATAAACCAAACTAGTTTTTATTTATTTATTAATTTGAGGATAGTACACAGCAGAATATCAATTTTTGTAACAATGTGTTTCAGTGAGATTTTGTAGACTTTGACTATCCAACATTAAAAATTTCTGCATACCTTCTCTACTATATTTTATTTCTTTCAACTTGAATCAACTATTTTGTTCAATAAGGAACCAATTTCAATTTTCAGAAAACTCTAGCGCTTAGAAACCACTCTACAACATTTTAATCATGTGCAAAATGTAATTTGACAGTGATGTTAGTTATAAAATCTTGAAACCAACTTAAGACCTTAAGTAGGAACAGTTAACCTACCTAACAAAGACACAAGAAATAGCTCTCCTTGTTTCTAAAGCTCGTAAAGAATCTGAGAAAATATTTTTTATAAAATTGCGCCTGAAACAAATATGGGATGTAATTTCAAAAAAATATTGGCACTATTTCGTGAAAAAACGCTTTTTCAATGTTTTAATAAGTAGGACGTTGTAAGTGACGTTTTTACTTACGAATAAGTAACTTGATTAGGCATTTGATTTAAATTATTTTGAATGAATGAATACTTAAAAGATAACTAAATATATTTGCTTTTCGAAACACTGATCTAAATATTTTCGAGTGACCTATATCTTATTGCAAATTCCATGGTAAAATATACAGATTTTTGTATACCATTAACATAGACTTCCGATGTAACAATAGGTACACTCAGTCACAAAATTCGTAACACCTTGACATTAAGAATAAAACTTAATATAAAACAAAACAGTCCCTAATTTCCATGCAAACTCTGAATTAATAAGCCTTTCAAGCAAAAGTATCGCATCGTTTTTTTTAGGAAACTCGGAGTTGTCTCTACTGAATTAAAATAGGTACTTATTCGACATTAAAAAGTGCAAGTTTAAAAGTGATTTTAAAGCCTCATTATCGTCATCATTCCTACTAAAAAATATATATCATAATATGAATGTTAGTGTAAAAATCATGAAAGAGTACATTCATACATAGATAGCCAGGATCTTAGTTTATATTTTAAAAAAGCTTCGTTTAATAAATTATAATTTCTGCCATACAACTGTACAACCAAAGTTATCACGTGCTAACCGCCTGATATTCATTGTCCAATACATCAACTCGTCACAACATCTTAACTGGAAACGCGACCAATTACGGGCAGTTATTCTGGCTATGCAATATGCAAGTAGTTGTATGCGCTCAACTGCGCTAAGCATGTTAAAATTAATGAAATTATCCCGGACTGTCAGGGTGCTTTGCAAAAACTGGTCATATCCATAACCCAGCTGGATGAAGTCATTTATCCAAAAACTGAGTCCGGTATCTTCCGATCGCAAGCAGAATCCAGATTGCAAGATTGCCTTGTACTTGGAAATCGAGCCAGGCCCAGGCGCATCATTAACGGAATTACTTGAATTAATTATCATTTTTTTGGCGCGCATCTTAATTTCTAGACGTGTAAGACTGTATTGAGGGCGCCAGTGTGAACGACAGAAGGGGTTACCGTTCGTTTCAATTTCTGTCACATAAGAAGAGGTTTGGTTCGTGGGCTGTACAGAGTCAAAAACTACTTTTCCTAGTTTGGTTAAGATTCCCATTACGATTATGGATCACTCTGACTTTTAATTAAAGAAGTCACTTTTCAAAAGTCATCGACGATCACTGGTCCTATTGGTCCATTCCAGTGGCGATTGGTAATATCTGACACTATGATTTTGACCTGAATTATCACAGCTTATGAGCCTACGTGATAAAAGAAAAAAAAATATTGCTTTTGTTTTCAGGGACGGACACTAGTAAAATCTCCGTTTAAAGAGACGATAGTTTCTTTTTATTTACATAATTTAGTATTACTTAGCTGTAAAACTGTAAAAAATATCAAATTATAGAAACACAAAGAAGCAACTAAATACTTCTCACAAGTTGTCAGACGCGCCTACAGCCATTTGATATAGCATTTAATGGACCAACAAACACCGAATGGGGTTTTAGCAGCTCAAGGCAAAAGCTTATTTGTGGTTTGACAGTAAAAACCTTATAGCTGACCACATTATGCGCTTAGCATGCTCAAAATAGGTCGAAGATTCGAGAAAAACTGCAGATCACCGGCGTAGATACAACGAATAAATTAATTTCATAATCTATAAAGTAAATACAGCAATTACCGAACGCAAAAAGCCGTTGGCCAATGAATTCGTCAGGCGGTTACAGTCCTCAATCGGGCACCTTTCATTTAAAAAAAGAACCATACGCCATTTCATGTCAATTTTTGAATTATTCATCGTACGAATGCGCTCGCGCATCGATTGATGCTAACAAAAAGCGCGCGCAGCTAATCTTCGCGTTCGTTCGGCTCGCGTCGGCTACCCTCGGCTCCCAGTGTTGCCAACCTTATTATTCAACTAGTTTTTGCAGTCACGCTGCGCAAAGACATAACAAGGAATGCATTTATTTGATAAATGATTTTTTTCCCGCTCAAAAACCTTTTCTCGAGACTCCGGTGTGTCAATGAGACCTCTTTTGTCAAAGCACGGCTCATTCACGCTGTGTGAAAAATAGTAATGATATTGCTGCGTCACCTAATCTCTTTTTATTCTTTTACATTTATTTTATTGTGTCACAATTTTATTTTAAGTAATGCATCAAGGCAATAAACTACAAGCGTAGTCTGTAATCCGGCTAATTGCAGTTTTATCTAGTTTGTCTCGGCTCTGAAATTAATTTGGTACTAAAACGCCCGCCAGGCCAATTACATGTAGCATTGCGATGCTTTGAGTGCATAAAAAATATAGTATTCGAATATTGGAACGTTCATCCCCCGCGTCCCGCGGCGCGCCGGCGGCCGCGTCGCGGCTGCTACGTGATTGGTTTGACAATTAAGCGAATCATCGACGAGTTCCATTTTTAAAAATAGGCGGGATTCTTGCCTCGCAATTTTTCTTTTTAATTTCGACCGGCGATGGACGCAATTAGAGTCCCCAATATGAGCTTTTTGTCATAATCGAATCGGCGATAAGAGTTAAAGATAATTAATAAGGCAAACGAACCTCTTCGGTTCGATCCTCTAATTAACGTGATCATGGAAGAAATGTTATGTGTTTCAAGACTGCATTTAAAGTTTATGGGGTTTTGATTTCACTTTTTTTCAATGGTGGGAAATTGTGTAGGTACCTATTAGGATAGTAAACTAAACTGCCATTCTAATTTGTTTGTAAGGGGTTCAAAAGTAAAGACACAATGAAAATGTAAAAGTGTCCTAGG